TGGCTTCGGCGCCGTCGCCGTTGTTGTAGGCCCGTTTCGACTGCAGGTTTTGACAATCATTAGTCGGTGTGCCATTGCCATTGTTTTGGCGGGGAGGTTGGCCATACCCGATCGAAGCACGAGTTGCGCTTTTCAGCCTCGGAGCGGGCGAGGTCACGGAGGCGATCATACTCGCGCTCGGCATCGTCGCCGACATCATGACGGAAGGCTGTTCTGAGGAATTAGTTATTTGCTTCAGGACTTTCCGATGCGCATGAGGCGGGGAGCCGAGGTCGGTGTAGACGTCGGTCGGGGTTTTTTCCAAGGGTTACTGACCACGGTCGCCCAATCTTTCCATAGGAATCGACATCGTGAAGGCTTATTAGAACAAGACCGAGCGCAAGGTCTTTGCAGAGGATATCAAGGGCAATCGGTGGTGGTTGGAGGGGTCGTCGGTTTGCGAAGATCCTACGAAGCAGATGCCGACTGGACAACGACGCACAAAAACCCACCCAAGCTACCATTACAGCATAGGACGCGATCGCCAGGCACTTCAGTGGACCAATGCGCTAATGCCAATCGAGGGATCTCCCCCACTGCGTTCCATCCCGTCTGCACACTGCTCGTTCTGGGCCGATTGGTGGGTGGTCAGGGATGTGGTCAGTTCAGCAGGGCAGGCAGCGAGCGCCAGGTTCCCGAAATTCCAGCCTTTCCTGCAAGAGTCTGGACTCTGAGCTTGGGGTTTGGCAGTGCCGGCCAGTTAAGGTAGTCACCGGCATGGCACGATCTTTGGTTCTCCGGCCGACAGGCAAGCTGAACATAAACATCACATCACACAGCACAGCACAGCACATGGCTGATGCCCTCGCTCTCACGCCGTCCCGCCCACGGGCAGTTCATGTGGCTGTCTAGCACCCATTTATCATTTTACAACGTTCTATTTTTACCGTCGCAAATGGAGGGCATGAGGTTGCATCACTTCGTGTCTGCTTACCCTGTATCTAATTTCCCTCGCGAACGAACACAAGAGCAGACTGCACAGGCAATGACATAACTTTAATGAAGGCTCTCGGCACGAGCAATGGCTGGTGACCTCACACCTGCGGCACGGGGCAGTGATTCGGTAAACATGGTCTGGTGCCGGAAGGGCCTGCAAGGTGGTGAAGTAATATTGTCCGACGGAGGATCGTGCTTGACTGATCTTTAAGCGCAATTTATCTCTCTATCCAGGATCCTGCATCGCGAGGCTACCGTAATTTGAGGTAAATGCAACGGTGCGATTTGCGAATCTTTAGTAGGCAGTCGATATAACGACTTCCCTGTTTGGAGCGCGCTGGCTGCATTTTCGGCGGTGGATTCTTCATCAACAAGCGGGCCGCACATATGGAGGTTTACGTCCTGGGTCGCCACAGAGCAGGGGGCCCTTGGAACCCTGGAAAGCCGCCATCAAGCAGTAGAAATTAGGAGGAATGATATGTATCCACTGCCTGTTCACTGTTCTTCCATTGCTCCTGGCCGCGAAACCCCGCTGGGGCGAACAGGCAAAGCACCTCAGGTCTGAGTCCTGAGAGACTGGACCAATTCGGCCAGGCTAGAGCAGAAAGGCGAGACCAACTGAGATTTTCTGTTGTCAATTGAGGTTGATCAATCTCAAGCAGATGCAGCGCTAGGCCATTCGGAAGACTAGTCATCCAACCAGTCCTGCAGCTGTGATTGGTGCAACTGTCAGAATGGAGTTAGCTGATCTACTTATGACCGATTCCACGCTTCTCCTGATCCATACTTGCATCTAGAAAAGGAGGCAAAAGAAAGCATAACGCGAGAGCAGCACAATGCATGCGTTGACACGTACAACGGCGTCTGGGGATGGGAAGAGCTAGCTGGGTTGATTCGGTGGAAGGGCTTCAATTTCAAGCTCTTGAAACATGCTGATCCCTGGCCGTATTGGACGAGTGCTGGTGATGATCGCGTGGTAAGGCAGCTCCGGGGGCGTATTCCCAGCTGATACCTCTTCCATTGTATACCTATGCTCATGGATATTGGGCTAGGTGCGGTGTAGACAGATCAAGCAGCCAGTCACCGAATATAGAGCCATCTGTGACAGTCAGTCCGCCAGGTTAAATTGCGGTGCTGTGCAGCGATCAACCCCGTTCTCGTCTGCCGAAGTCATCGCATCAGGCGCTGTCAGTAGAATAAAGCCTGCGTACAGACCTACCAAAGACGGCAGTACAGTAGGTGCAGCACTGGCCCCCGCTCAGTTGTCGACAAGGCTGGCCTGTGGTTATCAAACCAGGAGTAGCACAGGCGGCGCACTTCAGTGCCCGTAATGCAGCCACTAGGATGCACCTAATTTTCGATGCCCTCCATTAATAAAGTGCCGTCAGTCGATAGCGTCGGCTGTGGATCCTTGTCAGAGGATGGATCTGCTTGCGGGGGCCGATGGCCTGACTGACTCGTTGGTACTTGGTCTTGGTTGTGCAATTTCATTTGCTCGTATGGGGACAAGACTGGTGGCTCCAGAAACAAGAATCTGGGAAGAAGCCTTTGATATCCTGTGGCGTCACTTACCCTATACGTTGTTTCAATGTATGGTATACCGTCTCAAAGTCGGTTCGTTGATGCATTTATAGACCAGGCTGCTTCATCAGGTGAAAAAGTCTCGATTTGTGACTTGCCTTCACCTTCGTCTTTCCCTGTGTCGTTGAATTCCAGGCCGTATGTCCCTTTGTTGCCTGGGCTTAGGGTTGAGTCCGATGGTGAATTTATAAGGATATATTCGGGAATTGGCATCCTGTACTGCTAAGGGAGAGCGCACCCTATCCGCCATCCGTAGATTTTAGCCCGCAGTCATCAAAGACTAACAATGCCATATATCGGCATGCAGACAATGGCGTACTTTTGGCTCAAACGGTCTAGGTAACGCCGTTGGGGTGTCTTACTGTGCACACCGAATACCGCGATTAGAGGTGGCAAGCAAAGCGTAGCCCGGTCGTCTCCCTCCGTTCATCTTCACATAGAACTGCCGATATTAAGGATCCCATCCGCAGTAAAACAGCTAACAACCCCTTGTGCCCCCTTGGACCGGCTCGGTTCTGCAATCAGTAATCCCGATACAGAGATCCAGATGATCTTCATGATGACGGACACAGTTACGAGCCTGGCTTACCCCCTCTTGTCTACGTACTTCGTAAGCGGGCGCCCGTTTCGTGGAATCGCATCTGCCCACCAGGTTTTGAGGCTAATGTGCGACAAATGAACGCCCAACCAGCAGGCTGATAATCTCCAACCGTGACCGAGATGTATACGTAGGCGAATTTGATACGGACGTCTACCACATCACCGGCGCAAGGGACCGCTGGAGAAGTACCTGTGTAGCTCTGGAACAGGTACAAACCGGTAAGAAATCAGGGATCCACAGATGGCTTGCAGTTCAGTGCTCCTGACCAGACCAGGCCTTGGCCTCTAAAGCGAATCGTCAATTCAGATCATACTCTTTCGAAGCAAAGAGCTCGTTAGATTTCATGGACAGTGGCTCCCCCTGGCCAGCTATTGGCTTCTTGGTCCCTTGGCCAGGTCGGCTTGACTATTAAGAGGGTCTGCTGTGGGTTAGAGCCGACTTTGTAAAGGGGCAGGGGGCAAGGGGGAGGGGCCATGGATCTCCATTGGGAAATGTTCGGAGGGTCCTTGGGGTGCTAAAGAGCCACCAGTGGCCAGGAGAGGCGCCGTCTTCTTGGGTACCTGTCTTTAGGATGGAATAGGTAGGACCGTGTGTGTCGGAGATTTGCGACGGCGCTGGTTCAGACGATCGCCGTACCTGACTTTCCGCCTCGGTACAAAGGTCGGTCTGAGCAAATAGTTCGACCCAAGGCCGGTCCGCGCAGCGATTCTTGGGAGCTGCGAGGCGTTCTTTGTTGGCTGTGCTTGTTCATGCAAGACCAAGCGAATATGGGCGCATCAGCGTGAAATGGGTGCGTTGCATTCTGTGATGAGTAATTTTCGCTGGGTTTCTGTTTTTGGGAACACTCCGTAACGTTGGTTGCCCCTTCATGATGCGAGGAATCGATCCTGCCCTGCTTGAAGGCACAGGTCCGGGGGGTGGGCTGCTTAGGGGGGAGGGGGCGAGCTGCAGGTGGTGCAGTCCCTAAAGACGGGCCTGTAAGCCAACACTAAGGCGGCCTGTCAGCAAATGCAAGCTGGCTTGGGTAAGAGTGGAAGGCACGAATGGGTCGCAGAAGGCAGGCACCCGCACTGTGCAGTGGAACTGGCCTGTGGTAGCACAGAGGCCCCTGTCGCAGTGCCATTTCCCGCGCCTCCGCACCCATCACCTGCGTTGAAACTAAGGCGCTAACTGGGGAGCAAATAATGCTGCACTGTCCACCTTGGGCCAGGCCAACCCCGGCCAGTGCCCAGCCCTCTCTCTTTTCGCTCTCCCTGGCGTCCCCGATCCTGTCGTAGCATTCATTTCCACGCCTGGCCAACCTACCTTACCTTCTCTCCTCCCTTCATCGGCAACCTTCCCACATTCTCTATCTCACCTCTAGTTCCATCCTTCATTGCCGCCCTTCAATTGGCAGTGTCCATCCGCAATTGTCGCCATCAGCATCGAGGTGAGTTCTGATTGTTTTCTTCGTCGTCCATCGTCTTTCTAGGCTGTCGCTCCGATTCCACCTTCGTAAGCGACACTGGGTGCTCTCCCAGGGGTTCAGATCCCCCCCCAACTCATTTAACTCGCATGGATTTGTTCCATCCTGCCGCCTAGACGACCAGCCGATCAAGACTTTTCCCAAACGCACCATCTCTCCCTTTTCATCATCTACCTCCCCAACTTTGTCCCATTTCCCTTTGTTCAGCGTCGTTCGTTACCTGCTTCTCGCGACTTTTGCCCCTGGACTAACAAGTAGCCTCGTCCGCGCTCAGATACCTCCCGATCTGCGACATTTGACCAACTCCAAGTTGTACGATCGAACGACATAGAACCATATACTTAATTCACACGCGGCGAAGGCCATCGCACCGTCAAGATGGGTTGTGGAATGAGTACCGAGGAGAAGGAGGGCAAGGCCCGCAACGAGGAGATTGAGAACCAGCTCAAGAGGGATAAGATGATGCAGCGCAACGAGATCAAGATGCTTCTGCTTGGTATGTCTCCATTCACGTATCGCTCGCATTTGTGTGCCATCTAGAGCGATAATTCGACTGATGGCATCAATTGCGATGCTTCTTTGGACGAGCGTCGCGTTTAACCCCTTACTCTAGGTGCTGGTGAATCCGGAAAGTCGACTATCCTGAAGCAGATGAAGCTTATCCACGAGGGTGGCTACTCTCGCGATGAGCGCGAATCCTTCAAGGAAATCATCTTCAGCAACACCGTCCAGTCCATGCGTGTCATTCTTGAGGCCATGGAGTCCCTCGAGCTGCCCCTTGAGGACCAGCGCATGGAGTACCACGTCCAGACCATCTTCATGCAACCCGCTCAGATCGAGGGCGATGTTCTCCCTCCGGAGGTCGGAAGCGCCATCGAGGCTCTGTGGAAGGACCGTGGCGTACAAGAGTGTTTCAAGCGATCCAGAGAATACCAGCTCAACGACTCAGCAAGATAGTAAGTTTCACCAAGACGCGACTCGGCGTTGATTTTTCTTCTCGCTAACCAGATACGTGCTTAGCTACTTCGATAACATCGCTCGCATTGCTGCTCCCGATTACATGCCCAATGACCAGGACGTCCTTCGCTCCCGTGTCAAGACCACTGGTATCACTGAAACAACTTTCATCATCGGAGATCTTACCTACCGCATGTTCGATGTGGGTGGCCAGCGTTCCGAACGTAAGAAGTGGATTCACTGCTTCGAGAACGTCACCACCATTCTCTTCCTTGTCGCCATCTCCGAGTACGATCAGCTGCTTTTCGAAGATGAGACCGTCAACCGTATGCAGGAGGCACTGACTCTGTTCGACTCCATCTGCAACTCGAGATGGTTCATCAAGACCTCCATCATCTTGTTCCTCAACAAGATTGATCGATTTAAGGAGAAGCTGCCTGTCAGCCCCATGAAGAACTACTTCCCCGACTACGAGGGCGGTGATGACTACGCTGCTGCCTGCGACTACATTCTCAACCGATTCGTCAGCCTGAATCAACATGAGACCAAGCAGATTTACACTCATTTCACCTGCGCCACAGATACGACCCAGATTCGATTCGTCATGGCCGCCGTCAACGGTAAGTTTTCCATATCCTCTAGCTTGGACTTGCACAAGTCAGACTAACATCATATCTAGATATCATCATCCAAGAAAACCTCCGTCTGTGCGGTTTGATCTAAACGACTTTTCTTATACAGCAACACGAATACCCCTCGAATCTTTTAATAATAACGAAGAACAGGTGGGCCACGTCGTATGGCTCATGATTTTCATTATCCCCTCCTCCCTTTTATCAAATACATGAAGACAATACTATCGGAAACTCCGTGGTATTCCAGTGGGCCTAGAAACGAAAGTTGCCCCCCAATGGCGCTTGTAACTGGCAGCCTGCACCCAGTCTAGAGCAATCTGTCTCGCTAGACTCCACCGATGATTTGGAGCATTTGGGCTGTGCGGAATGAAGCAACAGTGATGGCTATGAGAAGAAAGGGAAGAGAAACAGAAGAGGAAAACTTTGCATCTGTCACATATGGGCGATGAGCGGAGGTTATCTATTTTGTTTAATTACGAAACACTTCCCATCTTGCGCGTTTCGGTGTTTTTTTATTACTTTCCTATTTTTTCTCACTTCCCCTCCTGTTTTCTACTCTTCTTTCTCTGTCTATTTTCCCAAAAATTTCTCAGTTTTTCTTTATTTTCCTGGCTTTTTCAAATACACCTTCTGCTTGGCTCGGGATGAATGGAGCTGCCGGAGGGGAGTTGCAACGATGGTTTAGAGTTGGAAGAGTTTTATGTATAGTTGAATGAAGACCGTGGCTAGGACAGCTATTTCTTAACTTGGCTCTTGACATCGTGGCATGTGTGGATGAGCAGAAGACCAACATTCTCGTGACGGCTGTACTCTGGGTTTCCTGTCAGCTTGTGTCTACTGGGGCCCAGTGTCGCAATTCATCATTGCCACTGTTCTGCAGGTCTATTGGATACTGGGCCATGCATGGCACTTGGGGGCGAAAGAAGCAACGAACAACACATGGATGGATGCTTATTCGATTCAAATGGCTGTTGCCCCGGCTGTACAAGCGAACGACTATCTGTCCAACAAGCAGGTAAGCTAACTGATTGAATTCTTCCAAAATCCCACTTGAGAAACATGACAAAAAATTCATACGCACGCAGACACTTGTCGCGTCTCTCCAGCATCGATCGTCATTCCTTGCGGCTACCCCGCGAAAGTTCAGCTCATCTCGATTTCAAAACTTCAGCTCCTACGCCATTCTTCCTTACATTTTCTTCTTTCAGTTCACTGGTTCATTCCATAGTCCCGCGGGGGGGGGCGGGAGAAAGCACAAAAGCGCACATCGTATCAGCTGAGTTCTCTGAAGGGGGAAGGGGGGTGGCCTCCGACTTGCGACGTTTCAGCCGTTCTGATTGTGTTGCATTCAATGGGTCCCTTTTCACTGCATTGCTCGCATTGATGACAATGTAGGAAAAGTCCCTATTGCCAGCTGGATCTGGACTTGAGATGGGGGGCGGGGTGGGCCCCACAAAATGTTTCTCGGAGAGAAGACATTAAAACTTCCAGGTTTGTTTGCTGCTTTATTTTTGTGATTATGTTTGATTTTTTTATGCAAATTGGTTCCGACAAGTGAGTAATTTTGTTTGGTCTTTTTTTCTGTTGTTGAGAGTGAGAGATTCTGATTGTGACAGACAACGCGACTTGGCGATCTTCAAGATGGTTTCCGGAAAGGACAGTGGGGGGTGAAGTGCAGGAACAAAAGCAGGCGAGCAAAAGCCAATGAGAAAGAACGTGCAGAGAAAACTCGAGAAACAAAGGGCAGGTGTGAGTGTGTGCAGCCCAGTGCGGTGTAAAGTGAGTGGTGCAAGTGAGTGCGGTGCAAATGAGTGTGGTGTTTGGTCGTGGCAGTCAGCAAATCGTCGCCCTAACTTGTGAACGAAAAGCACGATGTGAGTGAATGACGAAAGAGCGGTGCAAGTGACGTTTGCCAGACATTTATCGCAGCAGAGACGCGAGTTGAGAAAAAAGAGAAAAGTAAACTCCTAGAACTGACTTTTTGGGGAGGTTAGTGGTGTGTTCCTGGCTGAGAGGAAAAAGGAAAAGGAAAGGAAAAGAAAGGTACCTATTGATTTTTTTTGCCTTTTTTGGTTTCTTTTGGATAACACGACTGTTGACGAGCAGCGAGCAAACAGTGACGAGACACAGCTGTTGACTACCAGGTGAGAGATATAAGACTGTAAGTTTTTCGACACACTGTGTGGGATAATTGTCTGCGAAGGCTATACTGAAAGGATCAGAACTGTTTCTTCCTCGCGCAGAAGCGGGCTGAGGGACTCAGTATCGCCCTGAGAATGGGTATGCCTCAGAGTGCGGCTCATACGTCGGTGCCGGCGTTTGGTTCTCATGATATTGTTGGTCTTGGCTTTGGGATCCCTAATCCGGAGCCGAGGGAGGAGCCATGAGCGTGGCGGAGGGTTGGGAGGGCTGGGGAGGAGGATGGTATATCGGGTGGAAGATCTGGTTCTGGAACCGCTCTCCGTGCTCTGCCAGGAGGAAGCCGAGCTCCTCAGAGGCGCGCACCATTCTGGCCAAGCTGCGCTCGTATGGAGTGAGGCGGGCTGCCCGTGCTACCTCTTTGGCGGCCATGAATGAGGCGCCGGCCTGGTAGAAGTGGGCCATGATCTGAGGCCCGAGAACGCCTAGTCCTCCAGCTTGTATGTTACCGATGGGAGGAGGCCCAGCAGGGCCAGGAGGGTAGAGTCCTTCAAGTGGGACTTGTGAGTGTGTAGGGGCTTGAGGGAAATGAGGTTGAGGGGGTAAATTGGCTGGTGGAGGGCAGTAAGGCTGCGGAGGAGCGAGGTTAGAGGCCGGAGGAGGAAAATACGGCCCGGGAGGAAGGTAAGTAATCTGCGGGGGGGTCGGGGGAGATCGCGCCGGCGAGACTGGGTAGGGACCCAGAGGGGCGGTGTTAGGAGAGGTCGCCGGGCGAGGGTCAACTTTGCTCTCTGGATGGCAGACAGCTTTGTTAGTATGGGCCCGGCCGCGGAAGCATCTTGCTCTCTGGGCTGGAGCAGCCTCGTGGAGCGGATGATCGGGTTGACTTACCATGAAAGGTGCAGCGCGAGCCGCAGGCGTTGTACCAGCAGTTGGCACAGCTTCCGCAGAGGCTTCCCTCTAGGACGACACACCTTGTCCATGGGCCGTGGCCCTTTCGGCAGTTCCGGCAGGCTTGGTCTGGTTCGTCGCCGGCGACCTGGACAAGCATGGCCTCGACGTTACCTCGCCTCTTGAGGTTGGGCTTATGGGACCGGTCGCGGTGTTCTGGGTTCCGCTTTGCTGGCAGCCTGGCGAGCCTCTTACCGATGATACCATCAATGCGGACGGTATAACCCCTACTGGTGCGGTACCAGCGCTTGGCAACTGCGCCTGTAGTTACGCTCCGTTTGCCCCGCTGGGCCGGCATAACATTGCTCATGTCAACATCTTCCGGGACGGAAGTGGTGTTAGGAGCAGGCGGTTCAGAATTTTGAGAGCCCGCCTGGGCAATGGTCGAGCTGGACTGGGACGCCGCGGGAGGAGTGAGCGGCCCGCCCGAGCTTGGATATCCCACCATGGAGTTGACATCCTCGCCGTCCGCGAGGACACAAGGCGAGAAGGGATGGCTGGCGTTCATTGCGACCAAGAAGCAGAACAAAGAAGTGATAAGTGGGGATTGCTCAGGCTGAAAAGCTAGGAGAGAGGGATTGGGATGTGTTGTTGTTGTGAAGAGAGAGAGGGTGGTGGGTGATGATGTGAGGAGTTGTTTTGGTGTGAAGGCGAGGGTGAGAAGAAGGTGACTTAAGTAGCTGAACACGTCTGAGTATTGTCGTGTTATTTACGCGTCACAAAATAATATCGGGTGTTATTGTTATTGCTCGGGCGGTGAGTTGCAGTCCTTCTCGTTCTGCAGAAACTGATTCACTCCTCAGGCACCTATGTGGTCGGGCTGCCAGCAACTGTCGACGGCACTTAGCTGCTGGCATGTCCCCCCCTAAAGAGCCTGTAGGTATACTATTGGGGCCGTTTCTACTGAATAACGGTATTCCAGTTTCAGTCTGTAAAATCGGAGTTTCTAGTTTGATTTGAAGTCTGTTGTGGCAGCACAAAGCTATGCCAAACTTGTGGACAGACAATACACTTTCTGATTATTGTGTTAGTTTGCACATGGCGTTGTCTGGTCTTATAAAGAGAGATCTTATCAAGAGAGAGAGAGTTATATTGCATGTAAATTTTACTTTATTTGGTTATATCTAAGTCAGGCCTAGGTAGTATATAATCAGTCTACTTGTTGAGACCGGCAGCCTGCTCCCAGATACCGTCTGCCCTGCCCTCAGTCAACTCCTTCCATTGCTGAGCAAACTCCCGGATCCCACCCTCGCCAGAGAGACTGGCATCGACCACTTCTTTCGGAAGTTTGTGTGCGGAATACTGCGATGAGCTAAAGTTGAAGGCTGCAGGGTCGTCCCGCTCGATTATCCTGAACTCGGGCTCTTCATCCGGCTTGAATCGTATTCTCACCACACCACCATCGGCGCCCAATTCCTCATCGGTCTCAGATGTGGCTGTGGTGTCTTCGCCGCTCTCAGATGGGAGTTCTCCGTCCGCATCTGCCGTGCTAGGGGAACCGTAAAGGGGGTTGGCCACCTCCCATTCAAGCAGCTCCTGCCAGTCGAAGAGCAGGCTATCGGTGCGTGGAGCCCATGGGTTGATGTCAATGAGACGCACCTTGCCCAAACCGTCGTCCTCGAAGGCACTCTCGGGCACATAGACGTCGAAAGCAAAGCTGGCGTCTGGGAACGTGAAGCGGAGGGTGTTGTCGAAAAAGGCCTTGATTTTGCGGGTCAAGTTGCTCTTGAGGCCGTTAAGAAAAGAATAGTAGTTAAGATCACGCTGGGTGACGGCGATGAGAGACCGGTGTTTGACAAAACAGCGGAACTCCAGGGCGACATGAGGATTGAAAAAGGGGCGAAGGACGAGGATAGGAGCGTAGGGACGGGTGGGCGGAGTGGAGGTGCATCCATCGAAAGCATGATGGAGGTCATGAGAAATGAACGATGAGGACTTGAGTAGTAGGTAAATGTCATTTGGCGATGTACACTTGAGTGTATTCTGATGAGGCGAGATCCATTTGGCGTCCTTGGGAGAGGACCAGTTCAGTTTGGGTACGACGGCACCACCGAGCTCGGCGATCTTGGCTTTGATCAGTTGATGTATTTCGGGAAATCTTTGGTTGGGTGGAGGCCTGTCCGGCTCATCCTCGTCATCTTCATCGTCTGATTCGATCTCGCGCACTCGTGATGAAGTAGTGGCGGTAGTAGCCCATTCCTCTTCCTCTTCTGTTGCTCCTACCTCTTCGTCGTCGGCTAGGACGATACCGTCTTCATTGAGATAAGACACGAAATCGGTCGACAAAGGGATTATCCTCGATTTTATACATGAGCTCCTGTACTTTGGAAACCACTCATTATAAGAGCAGTTTTGAATATGATCTTTGGTGACGGGAGGAAAGACAAGTTCCTGCTTTGAGCCGTCGTCAACGGTTGGAAGGTGGGGCATCGTGATATTTTTCTTTGTTCCGTGATGCTGGACAATGTGAAGGAGGTGGTGGAATCAAGAGTTTCCAAGATTAATAAAAATAGCAGAGCCTATGTCTGAATCTGAAGTTGTAGCTGTGAGTCAACCTGTCTAGTGTGACTCTTTCATCCTGTCATTTGTCATGCATGTGCTTTTTTCGTCAACGTTGAACCCCACGTCCATCCAGCCAAGCCTTCCCCCGATGCAGGTGCATTAAGGGCAGTACTTTGCTCATGTACCGGTACCTGCTGGATGCTGGTGGCAATCGAGGGCAGGCTTGAGCTGGTTCTAGAAGTACTTCATTCTGCCAGTCCCGCAGAGAAAGTGGGCTCCACCGCCTTCCAGATCTGTCCGCCGCTAATCTTTATCTGACCCTTCGCGCTACGTAGGTGCATCATCTTGGATTCTTGTGCAGGTGAAGAGCTGGGCAGGGAACTAGCGAGCGCAACCTACCTATTATCCGGCAATCCTCTAACTAAGGATCTTCCAACAGGAAACCTGCCACATTCGCACCGAAGCTACCGTGGTGTCCAACACTCAGCCATGTCAGACAACGTCGGTCTCTCCACGCCTCGAGGCAGTGGAACCTCAGGCTATGTCCAGCGAAACCTTGCCCATATCAAGCCGCGCGACTATGGTGCTCCATACCCCAAGGATCTAGATAGCCTGAGGCACAAGCAGCGCCAACCGGATAAAGCCATCTTGGAGCACGACCGAAAGCGAGAAGTCGAGGTGAAAGTGTTTGAACTGCGAGACAAGCTTGAGGAAGAGGAGTGAGTTCCCACCCCTGGACAATGCAAACGCGCCACCTGCTTGGACTATGACATTGGCAAATAAACTAACAGCTTATAACCAGGGTCGACGAAGATGAGATTGAGGATCGGTGCGACGCATTGCGCAAGAAGCTATTGGCCGAGATGAACTCTGGGAGGAGGGGTGCTGGCCCCCGGAGGCCTTTCAAGGAACACCAAGTACACGAGATGGCCGATGCGAAGATCAAGGAGAGCGAGCGCCTGCGGAAAGCCCTGGGAATCAGCTCCGACTACCAAGAGGGGAGCCACTGGAAGAAACAGGAAGAGAGACTACGGACCGCTCTGGAGCAGGAGGCTGCAACGCAGGAGGAGAGCAAGGGCAAGGACTAACGGTGTTCCCAAATCGGTCAACGATTCACGCCGGGGATTTCGATTCTAGGGCATTATTGATTGCCTTGGAGGTTTCCCCGATCGTGGGACAAGATATTGCGTTTGACAAGGCCATCTGACTTGTAGCAGAGAAGAGCGAGAAGCAACAAACCTCGCTTGAGCTATGGCTAAAAAGCCGGTCTAAATCTATGAGGCTGGCAACCAACCGCGCAGCTTCCTCGCTTGCCGGGCTAATTCTCAAAATGCGATGATGATTCGCATGACAGGGCCCGAGCCTGCACAGGCCAACACCCTTACCAGCCTTGAATTTTGGGAGTTTACGAATTATGCACTACCCTGGCGTTGGATTTTCCTTATTTGGCAGCGTTAAATGGTTGGTTATGCTATGGGTCGGTGAACATCAGGCCGTCTTTCAAGCAGTTGCCGTCTTCTTCTGATTGGTTTGTTTTGAAGGCAGACATGAAGACGGCTAAAACAGGAAAGTGCTTTTAGTGAATACATGGAAAACTTTACTTGCAACATCACCTTTCGATATCGTTTGGTTTATCCCCGTTGCTGGGGGTTCGCTTCGTCGATGAGCAATCAACGAAGCCGTTATCGTGTCGACAAGCTCAGTCAGTCAATCAAATACTTTCTGCCAAACGAGCAGCTTATCTCATGCCGTACAAGGTGCTTTTGCTGTACACTTGCATGCCTACCTAAGTTACTTACCTAGTAGTATATGTCCTATATGTGGTAGGTGGAGGAATTGGCTGGAGGTCTCAAACAGCTTGTGTTAATGGCAGTATGAGCAGTTGATTCAACCTTGGCCACCTAACTTATTTTTGTTTTTTGACTACTTTATTATTCTGTATTCTTCCATCTTGTCGTGGTTGTTATGGCACCAGGGTCCTGGGGGAGCATTGACATATGCGGTTCTGAGCGACTCGCCAAGTACACATCTTCCCACATCACACGCACAGTCTCAGAAGTATCTCTGGGGTACTCGGCCCCACCAGCGTCAATCTGCCAAAACATTGAACACACGTCACAGGCTTTGGCCGTTTGACAGCTTGGGGCACTTAATTATCCCAGCCTGAACCATACCAGGCTGGCAGATCACATCCGAATTCCACACTCTCACCCTACGCACTACCATACTACAGCTTTAATAACAATCAATACGTCGCTTCTAATTACAAATAACCCCCATATGGCTCGACTTTCAAACGCACCGTCACCGGCGCTGCGCCGGACTGGCAGCAGCTTCGAGCGCTCCTCCGCCGAACTGGGCCAGCTACTTTCACGGCTGCAGCAGGTCCTGCTGCATCCCGATCCGAACCGCGAGCGTCAGCTACGGACGAGCGAGTACGAGAGATCCAGACAGAAATCGGTTTGTACTCACCTTGCGCTCCCGTCTCAGCATTGGGGCTAACGCTTGTTGCTTGCTAGAACCTTGACTATGCGCGGGCGACCCTCACGAAGCTCGAACAAGATGCGCTCGGCGTCTTGGCCCCTGGACGAAGAGTCGAGGTACAGACGGACCTCAACAAGAAGAGAGAGCTCCTAGATGTGCTGGTGGATCGACTGCAGGATCTGCAGAAGCTGGCGCTGGTAGAGGAGGATGAGGAGGACAGCTCCGACGTGGACGATGCCCTGGCCAACTTGATACCGACCCCGTCGGAGAGTACAGATACCCAGCAGGAGGAGGATTTCCCGACTCCTGACGACAGCGCAGCTTCCGTAGCTTCGGATACGCCGTCAGCACCCCCGGCTCAACCATCGCCGACCCCTCAGCCATTCGTGCAAGATACCCCTACCCAGACCCAGCAGACGCTGCGGTCGCGGTCGTCAGCGAAACCGACAGCGGTCCCAGAGTCGCCGGACAACCCCCCCGCGCATGCAACGGCTCGAGCCGCCCTGTTTGCCAACCGTCGTAACCGGACGGTGGCAGTGGGTGCCCAGGCCGAGAGGTCCACTGCGACGGCGGAGGCCATCTTGGACGTCCAGTCCAAGGAGCGGGAGGAGCTCGCCGACAAGGTCTTCCAGATGGCGCAGGCCATGAAGAACCAGCAGAAGAACATCGCGGCGAGTCTCGAGTCGGAGAAGGACGTGCTGACTCGGGCGACCGAGGGCATGGAGCGGACGGGACGAGGGATGGACATCGCCAAGGGGAGGATGGGGGCGCTGCAGAAGATGTCGGAGGGTAAAGGATGGTGGGGGAGGATGATGCTATTTGCGTGGGTGTATGGGTTGATGATTGGGTTATTGGTGCTGGTGTTTGTGCTGCCGAAGCTGAGGTTCTAGGATTCTACGCTTCCTTTCCTCGTTACTACTAAGCGGTAACTTCTCCTCTCCCTCCTGAATAGGGAGATGGGAGGGAAATGACCGCAGTAGAAAACTCTTCACGATATCAGGCGTTTTAGGGATTGGGATGGTGTTTGACATTGGTATTACACATCTTGTTTAGACGCCCAGGGGCATTCATGGCAGCGTTTGATTTACAGTCTAGTTATCGAAAGAAAATGGAAGCTGCCGATGTAGGAACATGGGCGCATTTCTCGGTTTGTCTTTCTGACTACCTGGTTTTCCTAATATACCCCAGCACTTTGCACCTTGTGTCGAATTTCATATGCCTATTTTCATATGCCCTTTGGCCCTTCGATGATTATGGCTAAGAAGATGAACCGAGAACGCAGCCTTCATAATACCTGGAGAGGGTATTATTCGAGATGTCCTCAATTCGGAACGGGGAATTTGAGTGCCTGTCTCACAGCCTCATAAAACCTTGGGTCAGTAATTTCGTCAGGCACCATGGCACCTGGATCCATTGAGCAACTGGATTCATAGTCGCTTGCCAGACTAGTAGGCGTGGTATATCCATCTTCCACTTGTTGAGAAGTTGAGCCCTCGGTCGAATCATCCGACGAAGGGGTCGATGGTTGCTCATCCATCTCATCATCCTCTAGTTCACTCTGATGAGGTGTCTCTGTTTCCATGTGTACGTCTTCGTCCGAGTCATCATTGGCGATCTCTTCTTCACATTGCTCGCCATCTGGGGCGTCTTGAGTAGATGGTGGTGTCTCATCATCGCTTGTATCCATGTCCTCGTCAACGAGACTGTCGTTTCTCACGTCAGCGGGGATCTCGGGCTCCCACTCGTCACTTCCACCCGGTATCGCCAATATGTCTCCCCCTTGAGTCACATCCATCATGCCCTCGGGGTTCTCTTCCTTCGGCGGCCATGGGAGCCCCCTGAGTTCGGCATTGATTTGGAGGCAGTACTCGTGAGAGTGGCGCAAACGGCGGCCAACTGGCTTCCCTCCCGCCTGTAAGCAAATGTTAGCCTCGTAACCAACCATGTCTCAATGTATTTCCATTTCTCAAAACCCACCGGTGGAGTATACTGAAAGTATTCAGTGTCGGTGGTCTTCTGCATGACCACTCTATCCTCCCAGTCGACCCCCGTCTTCTTCTGAAAGAATGCCATGAAGTGGTTCATCTCATCACGCCATTTCCCTGCGCAGGGACTTGGGCGGTAGTATGTAGGCTGCCCGTCTCCTTTCCTCTTGAGGAACTTTGCTGTGAATTGGTAGAGGTGCGGCTTGGCATCGGATTCCCAGAGCTGAGATCATGTTTTGTCAGATCCAGTTACACATTCTTGCCATGTCTGCCGCGATGAATTTGACTTACACACATAGTATAACGCTGGCCAAGCTCTCCTAACCCAGTATCGTCTCTCGTGATGTCGATCTGGTATGAAAAGAACTCCCGGTCTGTGTATATATGAAACAGATCTAGATCGTTGATATGGTTGGTTAGGAATGCCGCAGGAGAGTAGAATAGCATAGTGATATAGATGGGGAGATATGCCAAAAACTTATACTTACTCGTGTTGACGAACTTCTCTTCATTCTGTATACCCTTCTCGATCCTCCTCTCTTCCCTCTCACGGGCCTTTTGCTTGGCAAGCAGAACCCTCATCGAGTACTCATTCTCAGACTGCTTCTTCTCCTGGACGGCAGAGAACTCGAACCAGTCATAGTGGACTATATGGAATCGCTTCCCCCGCTTCAGAGCTTGTTGAACTGCGTTATCCGACCTAGGCGTAAGTAAAAGTCCCAAGGACTTTGTCGTCCATGTCGCTCGGAATGTTCCCATGACGCTTACCCCTTGGAACTCGCTTGTTGAACTGCTCCCGCGTGCAGAGGAGGTGCGTCACGAACTCGTCGAAGTCGTTGCTGAAGATTCCCTTGCGGATGCGGGTCCATTGCACGAGGTTCTCGACTGTGAGCTGGCCTGGGAGTGGTCCTGCGACGGCGATGACGCATTTCTTGAAGATTTGACGGGGCATCACGAGTGTTTAGGCCAGAAGCGGCCCTTGTTGCCAGCCGTCTCAGTAATCAGATAAAGTCGTTGTGTTCTGTTGTGGTTAACAGTTGTTGAGGAGAACGTAGAGAGAATCAGGCATCGGGATGTGTTCGTGTTAGTTATTATAAGCTGCAGTGAAAGAAACCCCAAAATACTACGCAGACATCATAAATAGTCGCTATTAAATGAAAAAGAAAATTATTTAGAAAATATTATGGAAGAATTGGGGATTTAGAGTTGGCGAGTGTCGTTGGAGTTGCTTCCCATCGTTAAAGGAGTGACCTCTCTCAACTCGGGAGTCGTGCCAGGCTGCAACCTCGAGGCACCGAAAGGACCAACCAGGGCAGCCCATCGCCGGGCAGTGGCCACTCCGCTCTTATTCCTTGAGTGCGAAATTACAGGACACAAATATTTTATAAGATTCATGGGGGCAACGGTATTTAATCATGCAAGGCGCCTATTTTCTTTTATATCTCCTAGTCTAATCCCGATGCTGATGACATACAAGCTTGGCAAACAGAAAATATCATCCCATTACCTGATCTCCTTTGCGGCCTTGATGAATCCAGTGATTTTCGGCAAGCTTTGCTTTCCTGCCTCCTCGACGCCACTGCTGACATCGACACCAATGACGCGAGATCCGAGATCCCCCAGAGATCTGACAGCACTAGCAACGTTGTCTGGGTTCAAACCGCCGGCGAGGAAGATGCGTAGTTCGGGATCCTTCTCAAGGACCTCCTTCACTCTGGACACGTCAATGAGCTTGCCGGAGCCAGCACCAGAATCTAGGAGAGGGATGGTGTGGTATCCGCGCAGGCCGATGCCGACGTGGTCAGGCTTGAAGGCACGAATGACTGGAACAGGGATAAAGCGTGCCCACTCAAGCGGCTCATCTCCATGAAGTTGGACCATGTCCAGATCATAGAGCTCCTGCTTCTCGAGAACCTCATTCAGGGGCTGGTTTTGGAAGATACCAACTACGCGTGGGCGGCTGTTGACCAGTCGTGTGGTGGCTGAGGCAAAGAAGTCTGTGGCTCCGGTGCTGGTAATTGGGATATCAACTTTAGCCGGCAATGAACAGCTGTATGAGTGGACGGCATTAGAGATGGCCAACGCAGTCTCGTGGGTGATGCATCGTTTGGCTCCAGGGACCAAGCAGATGCCAACAAAGTCAGCACCAGACTCAATAGCCTCTTTTGCTGCCTCTGGACTTCGTGTACCGCAGATCTTTACGTATAGAGGCGGCGGCGGCGCAGCATTGGTGGGAGCGTCTACTCCAGCACATAGCTGGCTGATGAACTGAGTGGCATCGGGTGCCCTCATGATCGATTCTCCAACTAGCACGGCGTTGACACCGTCTCTCTTGCAATCCAACACGTCCTGGTGCTTGTTGATGCCACTGAGAGCACAGATAATGGTGTCCTCAGGAACCATCTTTCGCAGCCGGCTTGTTGTGTTCATGTCGACCTCGAAACTCTCCAGGTTGCGGTTGTTGACGCCGATGGCCTTGGAACCCAGCTTGAGAGCTCTCTCCATCTCTTCGGCGTTCTGTACTTCTACAAGGGGCTCCATTCCCAGAGACTGTGAGTACTTGTATAACCGCTCAAGAAGTTCGTTGTCTAGCATTTTTACGATGAGGAGAACGGTGTCGGCGCCCGCGAGTCGGGCCTCCAGAATCTGATATTCGTCGAAGATAAATTCCTTCCTCAGAATGGCTGGTCGATTAGGCATACCATCCAAAACCTGGCGGACAGCTCGGAGATCCTCGATACTCCCCTTGAACCACTCTGGTTCTGTGAGCACAGAGATGACACTCGCTCCAGCAAGAGCATATTTGCGGGCCTGGACAGGGGCATTGATTTCGAGTGCAAAGATCCCCTTGGAGGGTGAACCGCGCTTGATTTCGGCCATGAGGGAGACATCAAAGGGCGACTGGCGTAGGCGGTTGATGAATGGAACCAGTGGTGGTGCGGCATTGAGACTGTATGCGGCCTCCAGATCAGCCATGCGCTGAGAAGGAATCTGCTTCTGGATCTCGACGGCAGCCCTGCGGTTGTCGTAGATCTGACGGAGTATGTTGTTGCTCTTGCTTTGCCCTGTAGTGACTGTAGACGGGCTTGCGGCATCCTTCGCCAGCTTCTCGCTCTCTACCCAGGTACCGCCCTGCAGCTTGAGGAAATTCTTGATCATCGTCCGCCCTTCTGCTGTTAGAATACTCTCGGGGTGAAATTGAACTCCCTCCATGGTAAACTCCTTGTGCCGGACACCTTGGATAACGCCCTGTGAGCCATCTGGCTTGGCCACCCAGGAGGTAACCTCGAGACACTCGGGCAATGTAACGGGTGTACCAGCCAGAGAGTGATACCGTGTGACTGGAATGTTCTGCTTCAAGCCCTTGAAGACTCCCTTGGCATCATGCGTTAAGGGGGAGGTTTTCCCATGGAGCCATTCGCCTGCTGAGGCTACCTCACCACCGTAGCTGTCGATGATACATTGCCTAGAAACAGAAAATGTGAGAAAATGGCCAACTGAACGATATGAACATGCAGGTGAATGAGTATATGAAACCCATCTTATGACTTACAATCCCATACACACGCCAAAAATGGGAATCTTGCCAGCAAAGTGCTGGATAGCATCACGGCTGATACCAGAATCAGTGGCAGGATGGCCGGGGCCGGGGCTGATGATGAGCTGTGTAGGGTTCTTGGCGATCAGCTCGTCGAGAGTGATCTGGTCATTGCGGAAGACATGGACAGTGGCGCCCTCGAGAACCAGGTACTGGTAAATGTTCCAAGTGAATGAGTCGTAGTTGTCGATAAAGATGAGATTGGAGGCGGTGGGGACCGGTGGTGAGGGATCCGGCTGCTGCGGGGAGTGATCGATGAGGTCGAGAGAAGACATGATGGGCCAGCCCAAACCAGGAAATGAGAGGGAGACTCAATTGGAGGTGGTTTGGTTGGCTTGGGCGGAAGGGAAGTGAATGGGAATGTCAAGGAAGGCGACGTGACGAAATTTGTAAGAGTGAGTCTATCTAGGTTTGGTGGTGGTCCCGTTAGCGGACGAGTGTGAGTGATACTGCCATTTAGTGAGCATGTGTCACAGATTATAGCTGCCGTCAAGACATATGTCTCGCTGATATTTTCGAATATTCCGATGTTAAAAGTTCAATTGAGTCTCATTACAGCTACCAATTTTATTCAAATCTCCAAATAATAACAAATTGGAAGCGGGCGGTTGCGTGTCCATTGTGCCGTCCAAATAATGGTGTTTGCCCCTCCGACGCCGGTGCAGAGGTTATCGATAATAATTGATGCTGCTGGCTGAATAGCAGCGCTCGGCAGAAGTTCGGGCTTCTCCAGGGAACCCCAAAAAAATTACAGGCCCAGGTGCAACAAGGTTGAGCTTTCTCGTGTTGGGATTGGCCAGTTCCGCCAGTGACACCCGCCCTTTGTACCTCATAGGCCTTTTCTTTGTTGCGAGGTACTTGCAGGCTGCTGCTAGGTGCCATAGCGCGCCTCAGCCTTTTGAGGTACGCCCATAATAAAAACATCCATCACCAGCTTGCTGTTTGGCCTCGCAGCAATTATCACCAAAGGCAAGGCATGTGTCGCGAGCTACTGCCGCGAAACTGACGCTTGAGGCAATGGCGTCAGTTCCTGACCGAAACTACTTCCCCCCTTTAGACGAGTCTCTCTTTGGAGACCGGGTGCTTCTGTAAGTCTTGCCTCAAAGGCTTTCTTTCCGGCCCAAGAGCTCTCCATCACCACTAACCCAAGCTGCTCCAGCTCGTGGAAGCATGTCGCGACTGCGCTCTCCGATCCTTCGGGGCAGAGACAGACCGCCCCAGCCGTAATCGACTTTTTCGACGACGAATACGTCCACGGTATCCTACGAGATCCCGCCAGTGTCTTTGCGTCGCCTTCGGATGCGACCAAGAAGGTCTTCGAGACCAACACCGCTCCTGTCAACACTACACCAGCCTCCAATGACAGGGTAGACATCAAAACCATCAAGGAGGACTCAGAATGGCTCAGCAAAAACGCCAACATCAGTCTCGTCGCGGCACTACGTATCGTTGTTGTCGAATTCCAGTCTCGGCCAGCACACTACCTAACAGGACCTTTGTCCTCGCAAGACGCGACCAATCTGCAGGAGGCTGCTGGCTTCAACAATGGACAAGCTACCTCTTTTCTGTCTGCCTTCGGTGCGACCCAAGCATCGGATGCCGATGAGATCCTCGCCGACTTTGAGAAGCCCGATGCGAAGAAGCGCCGTCTCTTTCGCACATATCTCAGCGAACGACGCCACTTCATGATGGTGGTTGACTACACCACTTCCATAGCCACATATGGCCGCCTGCCCGTCTTCACCCGCGGCGAACGAAACTTGGCACAGCTGTACCGGCTCAAGACGAGCGCGCAATCGCAGCAGAAGGACAAAATCGAGACCCTACTCCCCGTGTATCTCAAGTCTTTGATCGAATGCATGGGCTTGGTGGAATCGGGCTACAGCTCAGTCGCCAAGGAGGATGTCTTGCTCGACGACATGATTGAGCTCGAGTGGCTTCGTGCCATGCTGACTGAGGTCGTCCACACCATGTCAGTCATATTCCAGCTAGCTGACAGCTTGGGAGACACGTACGCCCCCTTGGACGTCATCAGTGACTGGTTCGGTTTTATGGAAGCTTATTGCTTCTTTGATAGAATGCAACTGGTTTGTCTTAATCATCTATTCAGAACGTGTCTCGTATACTAACGATCTCGTAGGCATCTCTCGGAATGGCAGAGCTTGTACTGCCCTTGAAAACCCTCGCCGCAGCCATCTCATATACCTTCCTCCGACCCGTCAACACCATCACGTTCCTTGCGAACCAAAATCAGGATGCAGCTCCAGTTGAGGACATACACGATTCCTACATCTTTTCAGAGGTTGTAGAGCAGATCCATAGATGCATCATTGCTGCTGCTGAAGCCGATTCTG